TTGTTATAATTTGCCCAAGATAAAATTATGTAAAATTGATAAATTTTGTAGACATTTATTTATTTATCAAATTAATTTTTATTATGTGTTTGGTTGATGATTATGTAATGGGTGGTTGTTAGGCTTTTAATGTGTAATCTATATATTTAATATATGAAATGTTTTTAGTTTTGAATTTTTTGATTTAATGGATTGGTTTAATAATGATACCAAAATTGTCGCCATATTTAACTTTTGAAAAAATATAAACTAATTTAATAAAAAAAAAAAAACCTATCATATGATCATCATTCAAACACATAATAAAAATTAATTTGGTAAATTAAATAAATATCTAATAGATATATCAATTTTACAAAAAATTATCTTTAGTGTGTAGAAATAATTTTTAAAAATTTAAAAATATTTTTTGACATTTATTTTTGTCAAATTAGATTATATATTTATTAAATTGACGACTTTACCCTTAAAATTGAGCAATAGTATTTTCAATTGTTCTTATTTGGAACAAAATTCAAAATTCATGGTCAAATATGTCATAATTGAAAAGTCAATGATCAAAGTGACATAAAACCCAAATTATAGAGATCATTAGTGTAATTCACCTTTATAAATACTTGACATATATTATTATAAATTCACTAATATTACTGTCACCGACGTCGCCGCCACTGCCACCATCATTGTTACCACCACCAAGCCACTGCCGTTGCAACTACTATTATAACCACCTTCAGCATCATCATTATTATTATTACCATAAGTACTACTATCATTTCACTATCGCCACCATACCATTATTACAATTGACACTGCTAGTACTACTACCACTATAACAACTATTACAATCATCCACGTCTGCAACTATTACCACCATTGTCACAGTCACCATCACCATTACACCACCAGTAATACTCATTTTTTTATCTCCCCAACATTACTCTTCTACCATCACCACAACAAACTATCTCTTAATCTTTATCACCATTGCCAATGGGTCATAGCTAACATTGTTGCTTCATCCTACTCTAGCATCACCACCTCACTTTCACAATATAAAATTTGAAAATAAAAAAAAAAATTAAAATTTGATATTATATATATCAAATAATTTGTTTAGTTCATAACTTAATTTTTATCAAATAATTTTTTAACTTATGAATTCAACATTCAATTTTTTGTACTTAATTTTCAATATTCAGCTTTATCAAAGACCACTTTAGAGATATCGTTAAATTATAAGAAAAATATATAAAAATATGTGAATTCAAACACATTTACACTAAATTCAATATATTTTTTGAATCAATTTTAACACTTTATAGTATTATATTTTTTAAAATATATTTATATAAATAGGATATTTTGATAATTTTTTAATTTTTAAGAAAAAAATATGTAAAAAAAATAGAAAGAAAAAGAAATCTTTAATTTTTTGTATATTTTTTAACTTTTAAATTTTGTGTTGACTTTTTAACTTTTAGTTTTTTAGTTGATTGCCAAACCAACCAATATTAACATTTGTTAGCATTTATTTTTGGTTGATTATGTGATATTGTATTTTTAATAAATATGAGTGGTGAAATTTATTTAATCAATACAATTATGACAAATGATGTAGGACATCCAATGTAATAGGTAAACATAATCATTGTAGTATTATTTTTAAAAAAAAATTAAAGAAAAAATAGAATTTTAAAATACATAACTTCAAAAATACAAGAATAAAAATGTAACAACAATGCTAGGTGGCCACAAATTCTGTGGCTCGAATGGCCCGAAACTGCCAAAACGACGTCGTTTTGGGTGCAAAACAAGCCAAAATGACGTCGTTTTGACAGTTTCGGGCCATTTGAGCCATATAAATTGTGGCCACCAAACATTTTTCAAAATGTAATATTACAAATGTTGTTTTCCTATTTCTCTCTCTTTCTCTCCATTTATTTTCCTCACCCAACCATTCTTCTTTATCAAACACCCTTTCTTAATTTCCATAGTCATCGACTATCTTTTAAATACTTATCTCGCTACCACCAGTCCCATCTTTACTCTCCCTTTTATTTCTCACTCTCACTCTAGCCTATCTAATTATTTTTTTACCGTCTTCAACCCTTTTGTCTATCTCTAACCTCATTTTTCACTGCAACCAGAATACTCAATCTCTCTCCTACGTTAATCACATCCCATAAGATACCTATCTCTTCCCTAGTCCCAACCTCCATTCCTTCCCCTAGTGTGAGAGAGATGAAAAACCCTAGATCTAGGGACATAGAGAGATGGGAAACCAATAAAACAATGGCAAGATTGAGAGAGAGTGAGCACGCGACAATGTCGGCTTGGTGACTGAGAAGGACCAAAAAAAGTCAAGTGAAAGTGAATCAACAAACTGATGCCTGCGAAAGTGAACTCAAAGATAGAGGATGAGAGAGAGAAAAAGAGAGACTCACAAAGAGAGATAGAGGCGTGAGAGAGCTAGAGAGTGCATGTTTTTTTTTTTTTTTGGAAGACTAAAAATATTAGCAGCTAAATATGCCTACAAGAATGACGTTTGTTAAACCCTAGTTTATTTTTTTCTGACTAATTTTTTAGTCACCAATAAAAAGTAAAGGTATTTTTTTTCCGACTAAATATTTTAGTTGTCAATTAATTTAGGAATCCCTCCAAATTCGAAGACTTGACTCCAAAACTTTTAATTACAATTGCCAACTAAAATTTAGTTGCTAAAAATAAAACAAACACCGACTAAACTACTTTTAGTAGCTAAAGATTATACATTTAGGAACCACATTTTTGCTAGTCACCCAAAATCCTATTTTGAACAACTAAAACTCAATTAGTCGGCAAAAATAAAACAAATACCGATTGCAAATATTTGAGTAGTTAAAAATTGTACATTTACGGATCAAATTTTTTTTTAGTCGCCTATGTGCAATGACTAAAACCCAATAAGTCACTAAAAATAAATACCGTCTAACTTATTTTTAGCAGTTAAAGACTGTATCTTTGCCAACCAAATTTTTTTTATTCGTTAAAGTGTGCATCTTTGCCGACTAAATTTTTTTTAGTAGCTAAAGAGTATACTTTTGGTTACTAATTTTTTTTAAGACGGTATTTTTAATAGCGGAACGTGTATTTTCTTATAGTAGGAATTGGGTTGGCAGGGACGAGTTAACATTGGTAAATACTAATAGCTATTGAAAAATGTTAACAATGGGGATTTATAGAGGAAGGAAAGACTGGTGAGAGAATAAAAACAAGAGAAAAAAATGACAAAATGTAAACAAAAATTTAAAGAGAGATTTATTAGAAAATTATTTTTTAAGTGTTTGTATTCTGATTAGTCCATAAGATATTTCTGTATTCTAATAAATCTTATTATTTGAACATTTGATCTACTAAATCTTAATTTTCATATTTAAAGTATTTTATGAATATTTCTATCCTTATAAATATTTTTTGAATGGTTAACAATTTAGTGATGTGAATATTCATAGTTTATAATGTGAATATTCACATTGACGTATGAATGTTCACATTAACAGTGTGAACATTCATATTGACGGTATAAACATTCACATCGCGAAACATTCATACTGTAAATATGAATATTATTAGGAGTATTTTGGTAATTATGTTACTCATAAGACTTATTGGAATATAAGAAAATAATATAGACTAAATAGAACATAAATAGATAAAAAAAGATTTATGAAAAAGTATCCCAAACCTAAATCATGATTTTGTATTTTTTTTTTCAATTTCTCATATCAAATATAATTATTTAAAAAAACACACATATTCCATTCCTTTTTTTTGGCAAACTTTTGCCCTCTGTTTTTTGTTTTCTATTATTTTGCTCAAAACAATTTAGCACATAAACATTTGCATTAATAATCTCACTATTATATTCACAAAAAATGTACGGGACTTATCCATCATTGCTTGGTAACCCACACAACAATTATAATGAGAAAAATCTTATAGCCAAACATTTAGGCTAAGTTTGGCAAGTCCAGAATAAGTTAAAAAGTCAAAAAGTTATTTAAAAAGTTAAAAAGTTAACATTATTCACCAAAAGTCAACAATTACGGCTGCACAACTCTCAATTCTAATTTTCTCTTACAAACTAATTTTTACAATTTTTTATTACACATTTTTCAATAAAAAGTTAAAAAGTTAACCCAAACATCTATATTTTCTTCCTCAATTTTTTAGTTCAAAAAGACAAAAAGTACACTAATTTAGGACATTCCAAACAACCCCTTACGCTGTGTGTGGTTGTGGGGTTTGAAAAAAAATTTAGAAAAAAATTTATTTTATATTTAGGTCTCATTTGGGAACATGTGAATTTAATAATTTTTTGATTATTTGATTAAAATATGAGCTAAAAAAATTAATATATTTGGGATGACTTTTTAGTTTTTTATGAAAAGATGTGCAAAAAATAGAGAGAAAAGAGAATCTTTAATTTTTTGGCATGAGTTGTTGGTTTTTTGACTAATTTAGTAACTTTTTGATTTTTTGGCTAAAATGAAAAGTTTCCAAACAAGGCCTTAGAAATCTTATAGCCAAAAATTTTGAAAAAAAATCTTATAGCCAAAAATTTTGAAAAAAAATAGAATAAAAAGGTAAAATGTGAATAAAATATACTTATATTTTATCTAATTTTACACATCTTTTCTTTTTTCTTTTCTAAATATTTTCTAAAATCTCTCAATCAAATAGAACATTAAAAGTGATTTGGAATATTCTAAATAAGTATATTTTTTAATTTTTTATAAAACAAAATGTTCAGAATAGTGAAGTATTTGTCAAATTATTGATAAATATTATTGATGTGATCTAAATAAATGTATATATATAAAAAAAATACATTTTTTTATTAGATGCCAAACACTTATACTTATCATTTTATTATTTGAACAAAATGATTGCCGGGTTAAATTGAGACAAATTAACCCGACCCATATACCCGAAAGGATAAAAAACTAGGATCCAGTCCATCTCCCTCCGCCCTATTCTTTCTCTTTCTCTCTCTCTCTCTCTCTCCCCGATTTGCAGGAGCTGAAATTCCAAATCATCAACGCCCAGTTTATGCAATCACTGAGAACACTACCAATCATGAAGAGACGAAGACCCAATCCACCACCAATCACCACCAGCATAGCACCCACACCTTCAACCCCTCCAACTCCACAAACCCTCCTCAAAACCCTCAATCCCATCACCTCTTCCAAACCCATCAAACTCTCATCCAAAAAACTCAGAACCATCCTCCCCAATCTCAACCCCCCCAAATGGGTACCCCTCAATCTTGGCAAATCAGAGCTCTTCTTGCCCCTCACATTCCCCACTGGCCAGACCTTCAGGTGGAAACAAACAGCCCATCTTCAGTACACAGGCGTTGTTGGGTCCCATTTGGTTTCCCTCAAGCAGCTCGAAAATGGCGATGTTGCTTATTGCTTTCATTACACGAGCTGTGAGGCTAGTGCTAGGTTGGCTTTATTGGATTTTCTCAATGTGGGTATTTGTTTGACTGATATGTGGGAGGGGTTTTCGGGTTGTGATTCGAGGTTTGCTGAATTGGCTAGGTATTTGGGTGGTGCTCGAGTGCTCAGGCAAGACCCACTTGAGTGCCTCATTCAGTTTCTTTGTTCGTCTAATAATAATATCGGGAGAATTACCCGAATGGTTGATTTCGTTTCGTCGTTGGGAAATCGATTAGGGACAGTTGAAAGTTTTGAATTTTATGAATTCCCGTCGCTGGACCGGTTGTCGCGGGTTTCAGAGAAAGAGCTTAGAGAGGCTGGTTTCGGTTACAGGTTGGTCTTTATTGTGTTCTTATTTGCTTTAGTTTCTTATGTTTTTTTACTTTTCAGTTTTTCGTCTTTTGAATTTGTTAGGACATGTTTTTGTAGCATACTTTAAAATGCATTCAAAAAATGGATTACAAAAAAATAGCACTTGATTCAAATCTCACCAGAGACATTCAGATATGAATTTTCACATCAAAATTCAATTTTCATGATTGTCTTTTTGTTCTTGCTAGAAGATATTATTTCAATAAACTATTTGCTGAAGTAGCAACTCGTTATGTTCTGCCTATTGAGTACTCTACTCTACCTGCACGAATGGTGTGAGCATTCATCCTTCTCGTACCAAACATCTCGTGCTACAAATATTAGTTTCTTCTGGTTATTCTTTGAGAGGCTGTTGGATTTCTAGTATGTTGGTTTTGATATGACTTAAATGTAAAAGTGAATTAGTAATTGCTTTAGTTTGGGCAAAGATAAGCGTTAAGTCTGTCTTTTCAAAAGATTGTTAGTTTTTAACTGCTGCAGCTTGCATTGATCACTACAAAAACTGATTAACATACGCTTGCTTAAGATGGTTTGTTTAGGCATTGCACACAAACAAACAAAAAAAAAAAGGAAAAAGAAAAAGAAAAAGAAAAAGCTCTTTATTTTTTCTCATAGGGTAACATATTGATATTCCAGACCTGTCTCAGGTTTCTTTGAGTCAGAAAATGCATCATATAAGCTCTATTAAATAAATATTTCTTAAAATGGTAAATGTCCAAAGAAAAGCTGGGCTGTGAGGTTCAAGTGTATAGTTCGGCCTCAAGGTCTGTAGATTATACTATTAAAGGTCGGGAGTTCCCTTTTGTAAATGATCTTGTACCATTCCATTCAAATGACCACGATTGTGTATTTGTGACACTTTTGTTTAGGCAGCCTGGCTAGGGTGCTTTTTTCTCTAGTGTTTTATATTAGCAAAATGTGTGTTAATGTCAGTGAAGGGATGAAACTCCCAGACAAGAAAGCATTCAAATTTGCTATCTTCCCACTTCCGTAACTGTATTACCATTTTACCAGCAGTTCGATTCGATACACCCCTTGCCAAGAAAAGATTCAAATTTGCCATCTTCCCACTTTAGTAACTGTATTACCAGCAGTTCAATATGTGATATAAGGTGATTGATGTAGATTAGGAGTTTACCTTATAAATTAACCTCATTTGAATGTCTATTTGACACCTTACCAAGTTGTGCTCCAGAAATATCCCAGTTGGCAACTTCATGTCTTTGAGAGCTTCTCTTTCATTGATTTTGTTGTTGATTCTTTAATAGTTTTTGTTTATAAAAGCACAGAAATACAATTGCACGTAATTTGTTTTTTTAGATGAGCCTGGATTGGATAATGTGAGTTTGAATGATACATACTTGTGTTTTAGAATTTTGTCCAAGATTTAAAATTTCAAATTTGAGGATTTTAAAATATATTATTGCTTTTTTACATCTCTTCACTCTGTTTATTTCAATCACTCTACAGTGCTTCATCCGAGTGCATAGTAAGCTGAGAGTTTTTATAGCTAGCTGATTCTGCAAAAGACTTGCATATTTTAATATTTTTGCTTGGAGGAACCAAAAAACCATTTTATACGCATCTATAGTTGCGATATTGTTATTATTATTATTATTATTATTTTTTTCTCTATATGCTTCGTGGCTTAAGTATGGATTTCTATGTTTGCTCTATAGTTTAGACTTCTAAGAATTACATTCAATTAGGTTTTTAATTTGACTTGACAAAGTGAGCAGGGCCAAATACATAGTCGGCACTGTAGATTCTTTGCAATCAAAACCTGGTGGAGGTTCAGAGTGGCTTGCTTCTCTTCGTGAGTTAGATCTCCAAGAGGCTATTGATGCTCTCTCTACTCTACCTGGTGTTGGTCCCAAGGTGGCCGCATGCATTGCTCTCTTCTCTCTAGATCAACATCACGCCATTCCTGTTGATACTCACGTGTGGCAAGTAAGTTTTTGGGTTGTTATTTTTAGTAGTCATAGGAACATTCTTATGTGGCTAATATAATGTGTCACCGACAGTGCTATTTAGATGTTATTTGACGTTCAAAATTCTAAATTTCGCTGCATCTTGTGAATTGGTTTATCAGACTGCGTTTGATGTTTGGGAAAGAAAAAATCTAGCCACTTAAGCATTATTTTCATTTAATCTGCTGAAATGGTGTTCCGTAAGCATGGAGAATGAACATGGGTTCAGAGGATCTCTTCACTAGTGTTGAAATTGGCAGGAATTTTATTTTTATGGAACTTGGTTGCCCTTTTAAAATCCTCCGTAAACTTGAATACCCGACCAGTGACCACAGTCAAGCTGTCTGTATCTTTGTGCACATTTCTTAGACCTGGACCCACCTCAAGTTGCCCACGACAATTTCCACTTTTTTTAGTTGATTTATATATCAATATATTTCACCCTAGACAGATAAAGAGTTATTAGTAGGTCAAAATTCAGATCTTATGCTATGTATGTATTTGATTAGGGTTCTATCCTTGGGATAGGATGGTTACTCATCTGAGTCTTGCATGATTTGAAAATAAGGAATTGAAAAAACATTTCACAATGAAAAGAAATGTGCAAATTTGCTATGAACTATTTTTTATTTCTGTGCTCCACTAATATGCATGAAAAATTTTATTGACTCACATCATTACTGCTAAATCCCTTACCCAAGTAGTTGAATCAGGTGCATGTCCTGTTAGCCATTCAATTACTAGCAATTGAACTTATAATCTTGATCAGGATATAGAACTTGATTTAACAAACTTTTGCTGTTGGCCTGGTCATTCTTTTTCATGTGGGTTTGATCTACCCACACAACTGTAAGTATGAATATGTTCAGTGTCTGTAAAATCTCATCATTTGGGTCAGGTGGCTCAGGTTGGTAATGCCTTGACTGTAGCCCCATCTGATTGTACTTAATTGTCGAGTTCATAGCTAGATAGCCATAAATTAAGTTTGTTTTTGGCCTAATATTACAACAAGAACAATATCACATTGGGCCAATAAAAAAAGAAGAATATCACATTGGAAAATGTCATACTAAATAAAAATTTTGACAAAGTTTCTATATGTGATGGCTTGTACAAAAATCTGAAAATAAAAATAAAGCTGAAATGTTAGTTACTGCTCTGTATTATTGGTATCATTGGTAATTGCAAGAAAAGGAAAGGGGAAAAAAAAAAAGGTACAGAGGATACATGTCTGAAGTTTCTGACCAAAACACATGCATTTCTGTCTGCCCAAGTTTCACAAAGCACTAATATGCCAATTTTCTTGTCTTTGGGGTTGAACAAGATAGCAACTAGGTACCTTATCCCCGAGCTTGCAGGTGCCCGCTTGACGCCTAAACTTTGCAGTCGTGTCGCAGATGCATTTGTGAGTACATATGGGAAGTATGCTGGTTGGGCCCAAACTCTACTTTTCATTGCTGAGTTACCCTCACAAAAGGCGCTTCTACCATCAAATTTTTGGATTACCGATGACCAAAAACCTGTTAAGACGAAAGGTGGACAACCAAGTGGTAATCAAAGAAGAACAGAAATATTGGACTTTCGATGCTCACGTTATGAAATTTTTTCTTCATTAATTGTAATTATTGCACCTTTTGCTGAATGGCAGGACCTATAAATGGAGATAGAGCCCAGAAGATCGAAAAGGAAGAGGCTGATGAAAAGTTATAATTCTTTGCAGATGAGGTGTCTGGAATGATTATTCTTGGTGGAACCTGGGATACCGGTAGGAGGTTGATCTCCAAACTATTGGCTTTTGCGTTGCTTTTCCAATTCCTTCAGTCTCTTCTCAATTTCTGTCCTTTCTTTATAATTCCAAATTATCTTAACTAGATTTTAGCATTCATTTCGCTTGATGTTTTGTCTTCTGGCTTGAAGGGAAAATTATACAATGTGGTCCTTGTAATTTGTCTTGGGTGTGATAATCCCTTTACTGTCATTTGTATCAATTTTGTCCTTTAATTTATCAATTGGACTGAATTAATATAATATGAAAATTTTAAGGATAAAATCGATGCAATTAGAATTATAAGAAACAGATTGACACAGAAGACAAATTACATATACTACAGGTGTAATTTGCAGTAACTTAAATCATCTCTCCTGTTTTAAGTTTGTATGCATTAAGTTAATTGTGTGTGAACTCTACTTGGTCTGATGATGGAATACCTGAAATTGGGATACGCATATGGAGGGGGGATGTTAGACTAGAAGGCAAAATTCTAGGTTACTTTAAAATGTTGTTTCTTTTATAGCCACCTTATTATTTTCTGAATCTACTGATGGATAGGAATTGTTAGTCCAATTCATATTCTTGAAAATGTAGGAGCAATAGTGATTCTTTTGTTTCGTTGCAGATAAAATGGAATGCAAACATGGAACCAGGTGAAGTTCAAAAAAAAAAAAACATGGGCACAGGTGGTTCTTCGCGAGTAGATGCAATGCCAATCTCAGTCACCTCTTATTGCAGCAATTTTTACTGGATTGTTTCAATGTATAACTCAGCTAGATCTTGTAAGTTAGGCCAATTTTCCTTTGATGGGGTAGCTAAATCCGTTTGTATTGTGTTCTTTTAAGCGAGAGATGTGCAATTTGAAAGGTGTAATCTTGTATTGAATGTATAACACTCCATTGTTACACTTTCATCCATTGAACTCATTGATTTGGACTTCGTATCACAATTCGTTGCAAATTCTGTGTCCACATTCATATTTGTCAACTCATCCTTGTGTCGGTTGTTAACTTGAGTTCTCTTTTTTGAGAACTTTAACTCATTCTTTTTTACTTTGTATCACAATTCGTTGCAAAGTTTGTGTCCACATTCATATTTATTAACTCATCCTCATGTCAGTTGAGAACTTGAGTCATTGAGATTCATTGCAAAGCTAAATCTTGTAAGTTATTCCGTACCTTCGAAGGTTGGTTTTGTGTTTTAGTTGCACAAACACAACCGATTCATGGAGTCTTTCGGCCCAAAAGCAAATTTGATTGTAATAATTATTTATTTATTTTTAAATAAGGTTGTTTTGAAACAATTTATCAAAATATAACAATTTTGAAATTGTAAATTGAAGTTGCGATTTCATGTTGACGTTGCTAAGTTAAATTTTGACATACTATACTGATAAATTGTCATAATTTGGCAATGAGTAGTGTTATACAAATAGGAAATTAAGGGGTTCGATCCCCCACATCTCCATTTTGTTTGTATTTGTGTCCTTTTTATTTATAAATAAATAAAAAATTTAACATAAAATTTAAAACATAGTAGCTTTAAGGCTTCATTTGGGAACAAAGAAAAAAACAAGTTTTTGGCTTATTTTTAAAAAGCCAAGAGCTACTTTATTTTACCAAAAATTCATTTGGAAAGTGAGAAATAAGACAACAAGTGAAATTATCAAAATACCCTCGTTTGTATAGATTTTGACAAAAAGACATTAATAATGTATGAGGGTAATATGACACAGTTCCAATTCAGAGTACTAAATCAAAAACACTAAAAGCAGCACTAACGAGCTGGCATCCAACAAGAAAAGATGAAGAACGTTTGCATATACAGTGTGTGTGTTTTACGCACTGTAAAAAAAAAAAAAAAAAATTAGAAATCCCGCGCAAATGTAAAACAAAGGTATTGATGTTCCATTTTCAAGATCTATTCCAGCTCTACCAACTATGGATCTCTCCTCCGCCGTCCCTCTGCTCTATCGTCTTCTCCCTCCTCCATCGTCCGGTGTTCGCTCTCTTATCCCTCTCCTCTATCGTCTTCTCCCTCCTCCATCGTCCGGTGTTCGCTCTCTTACTCTCCGTCTCTGCCTTCTTCTTCCTCTCCACTCCATCTTCCCTCTTTCGCTCTGAATCTACAGGTCTGTCCTCCATCGTCCGACGTCTTCTCCCTTCTTCATTGTCCGGCGTCTTCCTCCGACTTGGACTTCCACGCTCCTCCAAATCAGTTTGTCTCTCTATTTTATGTCCTTCTCTGTTTCAATGTTCTTATATATATATATATATATATACACACACAATAGGATTTTGAGTGCTCTAGAGCTCATTCTGTTTTTTAATACCAAAACTCATTATTTTGAGAATGATTTTTGTTTGGAAAGTCAATCTGTTATTCTGTTGTTCAATCTGTTTGGAAACTGATTCTGTTTTTCAATCTGTTTTTTGTTTGGAAATTGTAATCAAATTTCAATACTAGATCTTGCATCCATCGTCCGGTGTTCGCTCTCTTACTCTCCGTCTCCGCCTTCTTCTTCCTCTCCACTCCATCTTCCCTCTTTCGCTCTGAATCTACAGGTCTGTCCTCCATCGTCCGACGTCTTCTCCCTTCTCCATTGTCCGGCGTCTTCCTCCGACTTGGACTTCCACGTTCCTCCAAATCAGTTTGTCTCTCTATTTTATGTCCTTCTCTGTTTCAATGTTCTTATATATATATATACACACGCAATAGGATTTTGAGTGCTCTAGAGCTCATTCTGTTTTTTAATACCAAAACTCATTATTTTGAGAATGATTTTTGTTTGGAAAGTCAAGCTGTTATTCTGTTGTTCAATCTGTTTGGAAACTGATTCTGTTTTTCAATCTGTTTTTTGTTTGGAAATTGTAATCAAATTTCAATACTAGATCTTGCATCATGAATTGATTTTTAGAAGAAAAAAAAAATATTGAAAGGGTACTCTAAAGCTGTTTTTCAATACCAAAAAAAATTGTTTTTCAAAAGTAAAGCTCATTTTGTTTTTTAGACTTGCATTGTTGATGAAGAAACAGGGATATCATATAGACTGTAAATGATTGATGAATATTGGATTGTAATTTTTGAATGAGCAGAAATAGAGATTGATTCAAATGGTGGTGAGAATCCTTTATTAAATGAGAGTGAATAAATTAAGGAACCTAAGAGGGGTATGTGTTTTAGCTCAAAACAAGAAGTGTACACATTTTATGCCAAATATGTTAAACATGTTGGATTTTCCATAGCTTACAAAACACAAGTTTGTGGCGATGATGGGGAATTAAGATATTTTGGGATTGAATGTTCTCGATCGGGAAAGAGAACCAAAAAATCAGAAGTAAACCTTCCAAAGCCATCTCTGTCCACAAAAATTGGTTGCAAAGTAAAGGTACGAGAGACCTTACAAAAGGATGGGAGATTTATGTTAACCACGGTTAACCTTGACCATAATCATGACTTGGTTCCCACTGACTCACGTCATTTTGCAATGAATAAGAAAATTCTTACTCCTGTGAAGAGAAGATTAGAAATTAATGATTAAGTAGGGATTGGGATGTTTAGGAATTATAACTCAATGGTTGTTGAAGCTAGGGGTTATGAGTCATTAATCTTTGATGAGCAAGATGCAATGAATTATATTAACAGAGTTAGAAGATTGAGGCTTGAAGAGGAGATTCCGATGCACTTCAAAAAAAAAAAAATTTGAGGATGCACACACAACATGCGAGTTTCTATTATATGATTGATGTTGATACTAACTTTTACATTAGAAACTTGTTTTGGGCAGATGCAATGAGTCGGGTGGCTTATGAAGAATTTGGAGATGTTGTTTCATTTGACACAATTTATCCACTAACAAATATGATATGCCATTTGCTCTGTTTATAGGAGTTAACCACCATGGACAGTTGATTTTGCTTGGTTGTGAGTTGTTATCTAGTGAAGACACTGATACATTTTGTTTGGTTATTCAAAGCATGGCTAAATTGCATGTCAAATCATCCTCCAAAAACGATAATAATTGATTAATGCAAAGCTATGCAAAATGCTATAGAAATTGTCTTCCCAAATACTTGACATTGATGATGTTTATGGCATATAATGAAGAAAATTCCGGAGAAATTGAAAGGCTATTTCCAATATGAATCCATGAAGTTGGCTTTGCAAAATGCAATGTATGACACTTTCACAAAAAATGAATTTGAGATGAGATGGAAAACGATGATTGCAGAATTTAATCTTTAAGAGAATCAGTGGCTGGGGGTATTATATGATGAGCGACATCGATGGGTTCCTGTTATAGACACCCCATTTTGACCAGCCCTAAAACTTGGGCGCTTTCTATTGATTACCTGATGATGACAATCAGAATGTGTTTCCTAGCAGTCATCAACAAGAAAAATGGACTGTGAGCTTTAATCCCAACCTTCACACATTTTTGGCCAAACTATTTTAGACCTTAAAACTCTCTTTTCAAAAGATTTTTCCAAATGTTTCTATGATGTTCCGAGGCTCCCATTTCAATTAAAATATTGCACTTTTCAATAAACCAAGTATGGACAAAGTAGAAATAAATGGAAGGGAGGTGAACTCTTTAAAAATATATATATTTAAAAACAGTTTCTTTATAGGTTTGGATAGGTTTGGATTTGAAGGAAACAGGAGGGGATAGAAGAAAACTGGTTTAGGGAAAGGATGAGCATCAAATTGTTAAGAAGGAAATGAACAACCTTTACTAAATAAGACATATCTCTTTGTACACTTGGATTTTATATGTAAGGCCACCACCATTAGAAATTAGACTTTTGAGGCTTCAATTTGGACTCAAAAACCACCTAAAACCAAGTCTGGATAAGGGAAGATATGCTCATTTGAAGTTGGGCTTAAGAGTAGATTTTGTTGACTTGGCTTGAGGGAAATGAACAACATTCACTAAATTAAGCATATCTCTTTGTAAACTTGAAATTTAAAAGTGAAGCCACCACCATTGGAAAATAGACTTCTGGGGCTTCAATTTAGACCCAAGAATCACCTAAAACAAAGTCCGTATAAGGGAGATATGTCCGTTTGAAATTAGGCTTAATAACAGATTTTGTTGACTCTGCCCAAAACAGCAGCAGTTTCGTTTTTCTTGGTTTTGGTTTTGTTGAGACACCCCATTTACCTATTTTCTGATCCATTCAAGTGCACTCACTCATCCTCCATTATACATAATCATCCCCCATTGTCAAAAAGAGGTTTTGTTTGCATCCATAGAGGAGTATCCCATGCAACCACCTTGAAAATTTGCTCTCCGATCACATTCTTGTCTCCCACCTTCTTTTTGACCTTTACTGTCCCTCATTGCCTATATAGAATGATCATATTGTAAGAGAGAGAGAGAGAGAACCATGAAATTGAAGAGAAAAGAGTGAGAAAATGGTGAAAAAAGATAGAAAAATTGAGTTTTTGAGCCAAAATCATTCCCATCTTCCATATACATTCCATACCTTTCATACAAACTAAAATTTCATCTTTCTTACACCCAAAACTCCTCAAAAAATTCTAAAATAACTAAATTTCAGTAGTGATTGATTAAAGGAAAGAGTGAGTGTTGTTGAAAGTATGAATGTTGTTGAAAGTGAAAAAAAAATAAGAGAGTTAGCCATTTTCCACCATACATACCCAAAGCTCCATTATAGTTTCAAATTGAGGATTGCAAACACACTTCCCAAACTTGAGGGTGATCAAGAGAAAGTTTGGAAATCAAGAAGTTCAATCTTTTTTTGGAATGTGAATTTTTTATCTTTCATTTTCTTATATTTTATATCTCATATTTATTTTCTTACTGTTTATTTCATAGCGTTTTGCCATAATCCAAGTGGTTTGTTTATCTCATATTTATTTTCTTACTTTATATTTCATAGTGTGTTGTTGTAATCTAAGTGGTTTGTTTAACTCATAATTATTTATTTATTTTT